GGGTGAATGTCGAAGAGGAAAAGGAAGTAGAAGGCCGGAGACAGTGGTGAATATGGTGGAGAAGGCGGCGGAAGGTTGAGGAGGAAGGTTCTTGACTCGCGTTGCAGACCTCTCCTCCGATGAGCTCCGGCGTAGCAGGTGGTGGTTCGGCGGATGAGCAGTGGCGAGCAACAAGAAATGAGTTTGGCCTCAACTAAAATGACACTTATGCCCTCAAAATAACTGTTAGCAATGGTAACAGAGGACCACATTGGGTGCGATTTTAATAGTAAGAGGACTAAATTGAGTACGTTTAATACTTTGGGACAAAATCGAGTATTAGCTAATAGTGGGAGGACCATTTTGGGTATTAACTCAATTAAAATCTATATGAAATCAAATTTATTTATTATAATAATCTAATATATATTAGCCCTGTTTGGTAAAAAATTGGCCTATAGGTCAATTTTAGCTTATTTGACCACTATTAATTGTTTGATTTAGTTAAAATATCAATATAAAAGTTTGATTAATTAGCTTTTTGCAACTCTAAAAGGCTAAAATTCAAAAAGCTACTCCAAGCAACTTTTTCAATTAGTTTTTTGAGAAAAGAAATTATACCAAACAGCTATCAACTAACAGCTAATTTACCAAACACTTTTCTACAATCAGCTAATGTTATCAACTATTTATACCCACTAATTAACACAATCAGCTAACATCTAACAGCTATTTTAATAGTAAGAGGACTAAATTGAGTACGTTTAATACTTTGGGACAAAATCGAGTATTAGCTAATAGTGGGAGGACCATTTTGGGTATTAACTCAATTAAAATCTATATGAAATCAAATTTATTTATTATAATAATCTAATATATAATGTCTACAAATATTATTATTATTAAAGAATATAAGAAACTATATGGTGGATACATGTGCATGGTAACAATAATGGAAAAGATAACAGAAGTTATGAGCTAAAGAGAATACTTTGAAAAGTTTGAAAATCAATTTATGAGCTAAAGAGAATACTTTGAAAATTTTGAAAATCATTTTTTGAGCAAAAGACAATACTGTGAAAATTTTGAAAATCATTTTATGAGCAAAAGACAATACTGTGAAAATTTTGAAAATCATTTTATGAGCTAAAGAGAATATTTTAAAAATTATTTTTTGAGTAAAAGAAATTACTTTGAAAATTTTAAAAATCATTTTATAAAGTAAAGAGGATAATTGAAAATTTTGAAAATCATTTAATGAGCTAAAGAGAACACTTTGAAAATCAATTTTTTTTTTTGTTTTTTATTTTTAATTTTTAGCTAAAGAGAGTACCTTACAAGTTTTGAAAATCATTTTATAAAGTAAAGAGGACAATTGAAAAATTTTAAAATCATTTTATGAGCAAAAGAAATTACTTTTAAAATTTTGAAAATAATTTAATGAGCTAAAGAGAATACTTTAAAAAATTTGAAAATCATTTTATGAGTTAAAGAGAATATTTTTAGAATTTTGAAAATCATTTTATAAAGTAAAGACGATAATTAAAACTTTTGAAAATTATTTTATGAGCAAAAGAGAATACTTTGAAAATTGTGAAAATCATTTTATGAGCAAAGAGAATACTTTGAAAATTTTGAAAATCATTTTACGAGTTAAAGAGAATACTTAGAAAACTTTGAAAATCATTTTATAAAGTAAAGATGATAATTGAAAATTTTGAAAATCATTTTATGAGCTAAAGAGAATAACTTGAAAATTTTGAAAATCATTTTATGAACTAAAGAGAATACTTTGAAAATTTTGAAAATCATTTTTTTGAGTTTAAGAGAATAATTTGGAAATTTCAAAAATCATTTTATGAGGTAAAGAGAATACTTTAAAAAATTTGAAAATAATTTTATGAGCTAAAGAGAATACTTTGAAAATTTTAAAAATCTTTTTATACTTTTTATTTATGGTGCATACGTATGTAAATTGTAAAAGAATACATATGTAAATTGATAAATGAGGAAAAAGATACTAAAAACTCAAAAATCCACCTATGTAAATTGTAAAAGATTTAGATATCTAAAAACATAATAAGTTTCAATCATGGTTATATCCTTGATTTTGTCTATTTTATATATGCTAATAAATGTATACGTTTTTCATTAAATGTTGTACACTTCAACTATAATAGGCAAAAGTACCAGTACACCGTTACTATTTAGTTGTAACATTCATAACTTCATAATTATTCCAATACACCTATATCTATCATATCTTTTTCCTATTCTTTAACTATCATTTTATTAAAATTATTATATAATTACTTTAATTGTTGATTATATTTACCAAGACTATTTGGTCTAATGGTATCAGGTTCCGAACCCAGACTCAGACTCTGTTACCAAACTTATGCACACGACTACATTCAGCCATGCACACGACATACAAATTAATGTTACACGACATCTGTCCTCACAATCTTCTATAATATAGTTGTCCTCAGTTAAATACACTTATACACACACACACACACACACACACACACACACACACGCACACGCACACACGCACACGCACACACGCACACACGCACACACACGCGCGCACACACACACACACACAATCAGTGTTGCAAAAATCGCGCCTAGGCACTAGGTGGTCGACCTCCTAGGCGCCCTAGGCGGTCCCCAGGCGCCTAGCGATTTTTTCAATATTGCACAAAATACACCAATATATGTGGGTATTAACTTATTATTTGGATTATTTATAATAAAAAGAAAGTACAAATTATATCAAAATTGTTTACATTATTATTAAACACAATATATATTTTTTTCTCTATTATTTTTAAATATGATGATTAAAATTTACTACTTTAAAAAATTGTGAAATATAATATGAACTATAATTTTTAATTATTTACATTTATCAAATTTTTAATGTCGGGCATAAATTTTCGCGTATCGACATATCGCACATACAAAATGCTAGTTTTAAAAAATACCTCTAAAAGTGATTTAAAAACTATAAGTACAAAATCACAAATGAAAAAATTCAATGAATTAAAATTACATATAAAAAACTATTAAAACATCAGAAAGTAAACTAATGGTAAAGAAGGGAAATTAAGGCATTTGAAAAAGGAAAAAAAGAAAAACAATCATAACAAAAGAACCCAAGAAAATAAGGAAAAATTGAAAAAAAAAAACAAAAGAATTATATAAAAGAATGTTAAAAATTGTTTGAAAACATTAAAAAAAACACTTCAGCTTTGCCAACATTACTTATAAAATGAAAATGTAATATTTTTAATAAAAAATTTAATATTTTTATATCAAAATATAAAAGTATTACACTTTTCTATATAAATAATAAACATTTTATTTCTAATTACTATTATATTTTTTAGTATAAATATTACATTTTAATCTTGACTAACTTATTTCACGTGCAAAAATTTAAAAAACAGTTTCACACAAATTTTGACAATCATTATTATGTGGACCATGGTCCACACAAATTGTGTAGATCATATTTTGTATACTGTAAAATAATGTACATTCAGTACGAAAATAATGTACATTGTATGTAAAAATGTACATTATTTTTGTACTGAGTGTACATTGTATTGTATAATATACATTTAATACAAAAATAATATACATTTAGTACAAAAATAATGTACATTTAATATATTAAAGTTCATTCCACACAATAATTTGCCAAATTTTTGCCTTTTAAAAAGTAGTGCTAGTAATGAAGAATTATATATACATAAAAAAAAGTTAAACCCTCTCAAGTCTCAACGCCTCAACGGATTAATTTATGTAGTGCTAGTAATGAAGAATTATAAAAAAAAAAAAAAAAAAAAAAAGTTAAACCCTCTCAAGTCTCAACGCCTCAACGGATTAATTTATCTATTGAGGGAGTCGGTGATAATAAGTCGGCGCCATGGTATCTCTCCGCCACTCGCAGCCGCCGATCTCTCGTTTTCTTGTTCCTCACTCTTCTCATATTATCACCGCCTCTCTCTTAGAACAAAGACCGTTGGAGAGCTACCTTAGATGGCTGTGATTTCAAAAACATAAGACCGTTGAAGCGCCTATTCCACAGCTTTAAATGGGGCGCCATCTCAACTCTTCTAATCGGGCTTGCTCCGTTGTTTATAGATACAGAGAAAGATCTCAGAGAGAGTTGGAATAGGAGGAGGAGGAAGGAGTGCGAGATACCCAGAAAGAAGAAGATTTTATTTTCCGAGGCATATCTGAAAGAATAGCTTCAAGACATGTGGTTCAACAGCAAAATAGAGGAGGTAATCATATATCTGATTTCGAAGATTTTATCACTACTATGAGTCTATGATTCTTTAATCACGCTCGATTGGTGGGTTGATAAAGGTTATTTGGGAGTCTTGATTTTCTTGCTTTTCCGATTTTTGGACTCGTTTCACCTAATCCAGGGCTGGGAGTTGTGTTCTTGACTGCTCATGAACTGTTTGATTTATTTCATATTGGTCTCTTGATTGGGTTTTTTTTCAATCTTTCTTTTCATGGGTTAGTAATGTGTTTCTGAGTTGATGTATGAAAACTAAGATTGTTAGAAGTCAACTTTTATGTAAATTTATTTGATTTGGAGTCGTTAAGATAAAATTCAAACGATGACACTCCTGTCCTTGTAGATGAGAAACATTCTGTGTTAAAAAGCCTTTTTTTTGGGTGTTTGTTACCTAATGGAATGCGTTTCTTTCAATTTTTCTGATTTGATGTATGAAAACAAGGAGTGTTAAAAGCCAATTAGTCTGTAAATTTATTTGATTTGGAGTAATTTATAGATCAGAACAGAAATATTCTTTGTTAAAAAGTGAGATTTTTTGGGTGTTAAATGATGCTTAGGACCCATTATTAATTATTGTATGCCATGCCCCCCACCCCATTATCATGCTTTGTTGCTGTAAATCTGAAGTTCTAAAGAACTTGTCCATTGTCTTAATCTCTTGATTTGCTGCAGAAATGTATTGGTGCTGTGAATGTGGATGGAGTTGCTGCTGCAAATGGAGGTGCCTAGAAAGCCTCCTTCTCAGAAAAGAGCTTCTGTGAAGCCAATCAAACCTGAAGCTGTGATTGTAATCAGCCCTGACACTAAAGAAGAGGCAAAGGAAAAGAACAGCCTCTGCAGAAAGGCAGCAGCTGAAGATTCATCTAGAAAGACTTATGAGTGTAATGGTGATATGCATGTAGGATCTTTAAGTTTTTCCAGAAGGATGAATAGTTCTGCCAATCTTGCTGCAGAGACTCCAGCACCCTCAATAAATAGACAGGGTTCTTGGAATCAACTTTCAGATCAGAGGAAAATGCAAGCTAAGAGTTCCCAGCCTCCTATTAGGAAGCCTGCCTTGATTGGACAAATGAGAAGTTGTGGCATCAGTCAGGTATCTAATTCTTTTTCCAATAAATAATCATGTTTTTTAAAGCTTTACTTTTCCTTATTGTGCTGTTGATTTTGGCTGTGTAAATTCATGTTAACCAATTTTAACCTCCAACTCCAAATATAGAATATTCAATATTGTGAGTTGAAAATATAACCATGATCAAGCTTATATGAATATTCAATTTGAACCTCTGCTTACTGCAACTCTAACTGCTCGAAGCAAAGGTTGATTGAGACTCATTCTCTGTTGATCTCATCTCTGTTAATGAATGGAAGTCTTTTTTTTCTGTTGATTGAATAATTGGAGTTCTCTTTGGATTTTTATTGTTTTTGCATAGGCTGCTTGTGGACTGAACATTAAATTACCAAAGGAGAAGATTGAAGATTTTGATGCTGGATATGTGAAGAATGAGTGGGCAGTTGTGGAGTATGCAGAAAACATTTACAAGTTTGGCTACAAGGAAGCTGAGGTAACATCTTCTATCATTTATACTCTTTAATTAATGAATTTGAGCTTCTCTAAATGTTAGATGTGTTGTATAGCGCTAGATTCTAAGTTTGATTGTTCTAGTAATTACCCAAAATCATTTTCAAAATTATTAAACTACTCTCTTTACCTTCCAAAATCATTTTCAAAATTATCAAACTACTCTCTTTAGCTTCCAAAATCATTTTACAAATTATCAAACTACTCTCTTTAGGCTCAAAAATCATTTTCAAAATTACCAAACTACTCTCTTTACCTTACAAAATCATTTTCAAAATTACCAAATTACTCTCTTTTGCTTCCAAAATCATTTTCAAAATTATCAAACAACTTTAGCTTCCAAAATCATTTTTAAAATTACCAAACTACTCTCTATAGCTTCAAAAATTATTTTCAAAATTACCAAACTATTCTCTTTTGCTTCCAAAATCATTTTCAAAATTATCAGACTACTCTCTTTACTTTCCAAAATCATTTTCAAAATTATCAAACTACTCACTTTACCTTCCAAAATCATTTTCAAAATTACCCAAGTACTCTCTCTACCTTCCAAAATCATTTTCAAAATTAAACAACTACTCTCTTAAGGTTCAAAAATCATTTTCAAAATTATCAAACTACTAACTTTAGCTTCCAAAATCATTTTCAAAATTATCAAACTACTCTCTTTAGCTTCCAATATCATTTTCTAAATTATCAAACTACTCTCTTTAGCTTCCAAAATCATTTTCACAATTACCAAACTACTCTCTTTAGCTTCCAAAATCATTTTCACAATTACCAAACTACTCTCTTTAGCTTCCAAAATCATTTTCAAAATTATCAAAATACTCTCTTTACCTTCCAAATTCATTTTCAAAATTACCAAACTACTCTCTTTACCTTCCAAAATCATTTTCAAATTTATCAAACTACTCTCTTTACCTACCAAAATCATTTTCAAAATTATCAAACTACTCTCTTTGGCTTCCAAAATCATTTTCACAATTACCAAACTACTCACTTTAGCTTCCAAAATCATTTTCAAAATTATCAAACTACTCTCTTTACCTTCCAAATTCAATTTCAAAATTACCAAACTACTCTCTTTACCTTCAAAAATCATTTTCAAAATTATCAAACTACTATCTTTAGCTTCCAAATTCATTTTCAAAATTACCAAACTACTCTCTCTACCTTCCAAAATCATTTTCAAAACTAAAAAATTACTCTCTTAAGGTTCAAAAATTATTTTCAAAATTACCAAAGTACTCTCTTTACCTTCCAAAATCATTTTCAAATTTATCAAACTACTCTCTTTACCTACCAAAATCATTTTCAAAATTATCAAACTACTTTCTTTAGCTTCCAAAATCATTTTTCAAATTACCAAACTACTCTCTTTTGCTTCTAAAATCATTTTCAAAATTATCAAATTACTCTCTTTTACTTCCAAAATCATTTTCAAAATTACCGAACTACTCTCATTTGCTTCCAAAGTCATTTTCACAATTACCAAACTATTCTATTTTGCTTCCAAAATCATTTTCAAAATTATCAAACTACTCTCTTAAGCTTCCAAAATCATTTTCAAAATTACCAAACAACTATCTTTGGCTTCCAATTTCATTTTCAAAATTACCAAACTACTCTCTTTAGCTTCAAAAATCATTTTCACAATTATCAAACTACTCTCTTTAGCGTCAAAAATCATTTTCACAATTACCGAACTATTCTCTTTACCTTCCAAAATCATTTTCAAAATTATCAAATTAAATTACCAAACTACTCTCTTTAGCTTCAAAAATCATTTTCACAATTACCAAACTACTCTCTTTAGCTTAAAAAATCATTTTCAAAATTACCAAACTACTATCTTTAGCTTCCAAATTAATTTTCAAAATTACCAAACTACTTTCTTTACCTTCCAAATTCATTTTCAAAATTATCAAACTACTCTCTTAAGGTTCAAAAATCATTTTCAAAATTATCAAACTACTCTCCTTTAACTTCCCAAAAATCATTTTCAAAATTATCAAACTACTCTCCCTTACCTTCCAAAATCATTTCAAATTTATCAAACTCTCTTTACCTTCCAAATTCATTTTCAAAATTACCAAACTACT